AACTAAATTTTGTTGTGTAGTGGCAACCAGTCTCCTGCAGGGTTATGACGGAAAGGTTCATTTGAAAAGGAGGGAGGGTCACAATTATCAAATGCTACTCACAATGCTACAAACAACATGGAACAAGAGAAGGGAGACTATCGACAAGTGAAAACAGTAATGGACAACATCCCAGACAGTGACACCAGAATCTCAGTGGGCGAAATGAAAGCTAAACTGGGAACAGAAAAGGCAACATAGGAAGGGAACTCGTCAAGCGTCAAGAGGTTCTCGCTCGGGGAAATGAATGAGAACAGAGAAATCTTCTCAGACTTCTGAGCCTTCAGTGATTCGGCGATTGTATGCAGCGTGTACAAACACAAGGATATACAAAAGGCGATATGGATTTCACCTGGCGGACATACCAAAAAGCGAAATGCAGCCTACTGGGTGCAAAGTCGAAAAGGGGAGAAGATGTGAACTCAGACCATTATCTAGTTCAAGCAACTTTCAAAGTGAAGCTGGAATCCCTTAAGACAACTGGAGACAGGACACCGTAACACAGGTTCAACATTCAGAAAGTGAAGGACAAAACTACAAGGGATGCCTTCACTGCGGGTCAGATCTGAGCATAGTCGAACACACTACGTGGAATCCCTGGGGAAACCTGTGTGAACGGACATCGGAACTCATTTTCTGAAGGCGATATTCAAGGAAACGTGAGCAACTGTTCCAGGAAGAAGGAAGAGAAAAGAAAAGGTACGGCTCTCAACGGATGCCTACTTGAAAGCTAATAGAAGCGAGGAGAAGACAATAGTGAAAGAGAAGATGACTCAATGCGAAATTGGACAATAGAAGGGGAAGCTGAGTTCAGTGTACACTGTACTGAACAAAGAAGTGAGGAAGATTACTGTGAAAGACAAAAGACAATTTTACGGCACATTGGTTTCTGACTGAAGGAAAACTCGCAGGCCTCAGGTTGAAGAGATCCCAGGACATTATATCGGATAACCAGGTCCTTATCTGGGCAGAGATCAACTCGAATGATGAAACTAACGAAAGTTAAAGTAACCAAGGAGAAGAGATAAAAAGGATGGGGTGATCACTTAGAAAGGATTTCTGAGCCAACCACTGCATGCAACCTCTTCAAAATACCACCAACATTAGCCACAAAACTGCTAGTGGACACCAACGCAATTACGTAAGCAGAATTCTTGAAAAAGTCAGGTTATTTAAGTCTGGGATGGCAGCAGGACTAGATTGAGTTTCTCTTGAAACATTGAAAACAGATCTAGAGGCGCAAAGTATATGTCGATGGAATCATTTCTAAAGGTTTGGAAGTAAGAGAGGGTGCCTACTAGTTGGAAGTAAGGCTGGCTACCTTGGCAAGCTACCAAAGAATGGCGACCTAGGCTTCTGACGCAGAACCGTGCCCTTGTCTATACCAATGAAAAACTGAGTCACATCACACTGGAAAAAGTGAAATATGCACTGGATGCAGAACTCCGCCGACCGGAACAAGGTGAATTTCGGAAAGGCGAATCACATGCTGATCAATTCGCAACGTTACACATTAGCACCGAACAGAGTATAGAAAGGTTGAAGAATCTTTCTGCGTCTCAACTTCATCGAATTTTAAAAGGTTTCGACAGCCTTGATCGAGAAGTAATTTGGAAACTGCTCTAACCCTATGGAGTACAATACCCCACACATTTATCAAGCTCATTCGATAGCTATATAATGTCACGTATCAGGTGATCCACAATGGAAAACTCGGAGAGGCTTTTGAAGTGAATACAGGAGTCAGACATTCCGTCGCCCATGATATTCCCAATATAGTGGACTGGATTCTGCGCCCGACTGTGGAGAGCGAGAAGACAGGAACGCATTGGTCCCATAATACGACTCTCGAAGTTCTGGATTTCGCAGATGGTATACATATATAATGTCACAAACTGGAGTATTCCAAGTCGAAAACCAATAAACCGACATAAGAGGCAGGCAGCGAAGACAGGAGTTTGCTTCTTTTAAGTATCTAGGAAGCATCGTTTCAACTACAGTCGGAATGGATGAAGGTACCATAGCCGGAATCAGGAAGGTAAGGCATTCCCTCATCACCCTGAAATGAGCTTTAAAATCTTCTGCACTCATCCAGCGTAAACAAATTGATTGAGATTTTAAACACCAATGTTGAGTCAATCATTTCTTCTGTATATGTCAGAAACTTGGCTTTTACACCAACAGAAGTATTTCCACCAGCCTGTTGCAGAATTTAATCAACAGCTGCGTTTGCTGGCTTCATACTGAAGATCAGATGGCCTGTCAGATAGAATTAGCAACAAGAAACTGTGGAGACTAATTAACCAAGAACCAATCTATTCCCCAAAATACATGTAGAAGAAAATGGAGATGGATTGAATATACGCTGAGGAGACAGTTGGGTGGTATTACGCACCAGGCTATCGCTCGAGTGGAACCCGAGTGCGAAAAGATGAGTGGATCACTGGATGGTAGCATGTAGGAGGTCGTGTGGGGATGGGGTGACGGAATATGGGCATCCGTTGGAGGTCCGCACGGAATAGGACGAAATGGAGATGTGCTGTTAAAGTCTTAAGTTCCACTCAGAAACCAATGGAAGAGTAGTAATAATGATAAAGTGCACATCCTGGCAATCTTTATAAAATACAGTAAGACGGAAATAAACATCTGGATGTGCACTGACTTCATTTATTCCCAGCGAGTTCCGTATTTCCTCCGGCGCATTGCTGAGTGACGAATAACCTTCCATGTCTTTGACTAATATTTATTGCTTCCTTGTCCATCACTACCCTAGTGAAGTGGACTGCCAACGTAGTTGAAGATTGAACGATCAATTCATGGTTGTTTGCTCAGACCCAGCTTCCCCATAATTTTCGCGGGTCATCAATCCGGCAGTCATCGTCTCATCGTTCGTTGTTCGGAAGAAGACTAAAAACTATCAGAAGTATAATCGTGATTTATTGTAATAACATTCATTCTTAGACCTTGTGTAATAACCTTATTGTTGGTTATATGTTGGCGTAAGAATAAAGGATTATTGAGTCGGCAGTCAGTGTTATGGTTTTCGCGTTGGTTAATACAAAGTGTTTCTGAAAGTCTTCGAGCGACAGTTTGAGGTCCAGTGTAGCAAGAGCTGGACAGTTTGTGAGACTTGGCTGACATGGACAATAGACCAAAACTGCTAGTTTGTAAATAGTTCAGTATAATAAACCAGACACTGATATCCCATTGCATCTTTAACGGCCTCACTGTATGAAATGGCTATATGCATGACAGCCAGCTTTAAGAGTAACGGCAGAAACTCTCACCTCATTTGAGAAGTTCAGGTTTTCCTAGAGCCAATTAGAACTGTTTTAAAGTCGACATGAGAATGGCATTCAGCATATAACAGAAAGCATCTATTTGTTGCCCATCCGAAAGTTCACCATATGTCAGCCACGTCTCATAAACCGTCAATGCCCAGCTCTTGCTGCGCTGGGACTCACGCTGTTCCTCGAAGTTTCTCAGAAACGCTTGATAATAACGGACGCAAAAACCAAAGCACCGATTGGCGACTCGAGAATTCTTTATTGTAACACCAACATATAGCCAACTTTAAAATTAAGCTTTAAAACTAAGATTTCTGACGGTTTCGTCCTGACTTCTTTCTGAACAGCGACCGATGAGACGATGACTGGTGTATTGATGCCTCCGCGAAAATTTGGGAAGTTGGGTTTGAGCGAACAACCGTGAATTGATAGTTCAATTTTCAACTACATTGACACCGTATATTGGCAAACTTTATTAATGAAGGTGATAAGTGCTTTGCTGTAATGCTGTTGGTCAGATGATGGTGTCACTGGCCAAATGAAGTACTGTTTTTCTTTACCCGAAAAATGCTTTGACCTCTGGTGGCAGCTGAAAGCAGTGGATGGGTTTTTGAGAAGTGCTTTAATAGTGGTGATAAGGTCTGATGGACAAGTTTCTTTCGTCCAGAGTTTGCTTCAGCTTTTGGCAACTGAATGTAATCGCTGAATAGAGCTTTATTCTTGGCGGAAGGAGAGTCTGATCAGGGGCTTTCCTCCTGATTACAAACGAGGGCTTATTTTGACCATGCGTATCCGCAAATAAGAAGTCGTATGGAAACGATGCACATTTGCAAAGTCAGAGGATAGAAAAAATCCCAATAACGGATTTCAACTTTTGTTCCTCAATTATGTGACAGATCTGCAGATCCTGGTTGTTTGATGCTTTAGGAGAAGTAACGGCAACAGGAACTACAGCACTTGACTGAGACAAATAGACCTACCTTATAATTGATCACACAGGACTTGACAGTGAAGCCGAAAGTAATAACTCCTAACTCCTTTCTCATTAAGATTTTTAACTTGCAAAGCCGCCCGCTTCCAGACATGGCCACGACCCGAAACATATTAACTTCATAAGAAAGATAGGTGGCTGAACGAAGATGAAGGACCTATACGCATTTACTGGAGAAGCAGTACACTTTTTGGGTGCTTAATTTATACTACAAATACCCCAGTATTTTCATCTATATGCTTCACCATTTGTGCACGATTTTCGCCTTTCAAACACCTTCCAGAGTTTTTCATTCTATCTTGTTTCTATTTATCTGAGTGTCCTGTCTTTCTCATATCAAGTTCTCTTGAAATATTTCCTTTTTGTCATTTGATTTTCTTGAGTTTCTTTCCGTCCTATTAGTACCCCATTTTGCTGAAATATTTTTGACCTTATCGGAGAATTTCGCGGTCAAAAGCCGCTTAGAGGTTCAAGAAGGGTAGCTTCTTCCATATAAAACACACATCTCTTTCACAACAAATTATCGTATAGTCGCGCCTTACAGTGAGAGTGCAGACAGAATTTCCTCAATGGAATCTGAAAACCCTTAAAACTATTTAAAAATAACAGCAAGAACAAGGAAGAGAAGATTTTATTTGTATTTGTTGTAGAACTACCAGACATTAGACGGTTTAAATCTGAAAATTTGTTTAAAGTGATGTAATATCGTAGCGCTTACTTCAGGACTTTTGCCCTCATTTGTCAAATCTTGGTTTTTTGGGAGTTTTTCCCTGTATACGAAGACCTCTTAGCAATGAATGACGTTGCCAAGTTTCCAGAAGAGTTAAAATTTCTTGACTTGATGGCATGCATCCGAGGAGATAGGAGTCACTTGGGGTCGAACAGCATTCGAACTGGGCCTTACTTGATACGATACTCTACTTTCCTGAACCATTTGCAAAGAATTGCTGTTCATTGTGGCCTTCAGTTGTCTTCAGGCTCCTGTGTTGGTGGGGGAAATTCTGCCGGTTCTTTGGTATGGCGACTCACATCTGAGTGTTTTGCAGTGGTAGTGGCTGCTACGAATAACTCTGTCTGTGGTTCTGACTCAGCATACGGCACTTCTCCCAAACTCACAGATCTTATTTCGATCGCGGCAGTTTATTTTGAATTCAATCATGACAAAGCTGTGGTGAGTTAATCTTAGATAGTTTCTAGAACTCATTCTTGGTGACTTAAGCTATACTCATCTATACATAGATGGGTATTCGTGCAGCTATTTGAAATGTGCATTGGGAGAGGTCCTATAGGCTTTCAATCATATCCGTTTGTGAGAATTTATTCCGATAATGGGAGTGGAGAATATTTTTCGACCTAGAACTTGTCACAATTGTCAGAAGGACATGCACATGGTCCGGGGTTCCATCTCCTACCGACGCACACCTGGTATCAGTGATCGGCATGCAAAATTTGGGCTACCGATATTGCATGCTAAAAATTCCATACATCTACCATAAAGTACTGTGTGTAATCAAGCTATAATCAGAAATTAGAGATAATTAAATTATAACCAATTTTTCCCTGACCAAAAGTTAACTAGTACTTCTCTTAGAGCCTCTTTTATTATGGTGGTGACACCATAGTTTTCTTTAACCTGAAATGGGGTGGAGAAATCTGATTTCTCATCAAAGAAGAAACTTCAGAGCAGAACAAATAATGTGATATGCACGAAAAATTTGGAAAGTGGACGGTGAAATAAAAATAAAACCAAGTGCGAAACTAAAACAGCCATCTTTGGACTAGGAGTTAAGACTACTAGTAAATTAGTGTAGTATAGAGCGAGGAGCTCAAGTATAATTCTGTTAATGTGATGCGTAACTACATTTGCAGATGCTCTTGTGTGGTTTTCATGTCACGTTCATTCTTCCTCTAGTTTTTTGAACCACCCTTGAGGAAAATGACAGGCTAAATTGCAGTACGTGTGAACAAGTTTTTTAGCGGGTTGGATTTAATTGTTCCTTGTAATTGCTAGACATGCACAACCTAAAACCATGTCATGTTGTTTGCAGCAAATGTAAGGTGTAAAGTCTAATTGAGAGGGATGTAAGTAATTTAGTTAGTTCGATTGTTGGGCCACTCTTTCTAGTGAGGCTGCTCATCTGTGACTCAAAAATCCTGCTAGCGATTCCGTTTCACCACTGGTTGAGTTCACTACCATACTTATTGGTTCTAGTTATTCCACCACCATTTTATTTCAACTTACCATGTTTCTGAGTTTTTTAAGCTTTTGAATTAGGTACAGCGTCTTTAATTTTAGCTTAATTTCTCAGCAGACAGTCAAGAAAATTTTTTGTTAACCATTTTATTAAATCCACTTATGTTCTGAGATACATTCACTTGTCTTTTGCTTCATCACTGTTTAAGATGTTTCCGTTTTGGTCTTATTTGTTCAGCCCTGTCCGGAATTGGCAACGGATCTTAGCATGGGGAGATACAGTTCATTGCTTCAACATGTAGATAATCTGCTAACAATATATGCAGTTCCGGGCGACAAGTAAGTTGTCCTGCAGTGATAATTTATTATATCTTCAGTTCATTGGAAGTAAACTTTCATATCTTTTAATTCAAGGTAGATTGTCTGTGAAATATTATTATAGGACCTCCATGGTTAAGTTTTTTAACTGTTTTAGGCAGTGCATTCCTCAAAGAGAAATTATTTGTATCGTTTTCAATTCTTATAGTTTCTACAATGTTTTTTGTTACAGTTCACATGGCATTGGTACTTATTGTCATCAGAATTCATGTTTCGGTTACACCTTTAATTCACTCGCCTTTTAAAGCTTGATCTACTAGCATTAGCGGCTTGGTTGTTGGAACAACTAACCTGATTAGACAAATCTCTCCATGGGTTGTCTACTCTAGAGTCCTGAAGAAACTGAATATTGTAGTTATAAATTCGAATCTGTGATGATTTGTCCTCCTTAGAAATGCAGCTGTTAATTATCATTATTCATTTCATTATATCTTCACTTTGTATGCTAGTGGTCCTATTTTCATCACTTTTCCTCTTAATATTTCTTATCCCTTTGCTTTGTTTTTTGGTGTTTTCCTCTCTATGTGCGGATTAGGAGGCGGATAATGTGAATTAATAATCAGTTGTACTGTTCGCATATTGTTTATGCCCATCAGATCGCGTCTTTAAACAAAGCTACTGTAATCTATTACAGATAACAAATGGGAATGTCACTTAAACTGAGTTCTTGTCAGCTATGAGTTCATGGTGTGTTCATTGTGTCGGAGTAGTCAACCACAAATAGCGAGTGTATTAACAGTGTATATCACATGAGTCAGCTGACATTAGAAGGTCAGTTCAGTGCATTTCACCACTGGTTTCATAGCGACGATGAAGTTAACAAAGACTGATTTGTGATTATTCTGATAAGTATTATTTCGACAAGTGTAACATGTAGGTAATATGAAGTTATGTATTAGTAAACATGAGTGATTGAGAATACAAGTTCCACTAGTTTTTTCTTTTTAGTCGTGGATAAAATAATCACATGTAAAATGCGACCCAAACCTAAAGTGGAAGTTATGCGTATGTAGTTCGTCGTAACTGGATTGCAGAGTAACATTTCACCTGCTCTATGAAATCTTACCATCTATGTTGCAGAAATAGATTAGATGAATAATCTTTATAGCTTGCACGTATTTCTTAATTTTTCTGCTAATCAATAAGTTTTGTATTATTTTTCTAGGATTGATCGCGCTCGAACTTATTTGTGTTTACAAGCTCTTGAAAAGGATTTGAGTATGTTAACTCAAGCAATAAGAACTGACTTGGAGAATAATATGGACGCTATAAACACATTCAGGCGGGCTCCGAACCAAAAACATGACGTATTCAGTATGCGTGACCTGGTAAATCGTTCACTTGTTGGGCATTTCGTTGGACGTACAGGAGGTCGATTGGCTCGTCTTACTTATTTAGTAACATCAGCACAAGCTATGATAAGTAATGCAGCTGGTGTCTTAAAAAATGATATGCAAATGAATCCAAAGAAACCATGTTCTACGAGCGTTGGTTGTGGGTCACCTGACGGTTTAATTGGTGGATATATGGCGCGTATAGGGCTTTGTCCCAGACTATCATATGCTGGAGATACTTCTACTGCATCTCACTCCACAGTTCAGCGATTACCATTCATGCCACTAGTTACATTGCAAAAAGATGCTTACGGTGTGAGGTAAGTTATATGCTTCGGAAATTTTAAGTTACTAAATTAAAGAAATCTGATAAATCTGAGTTACCCATAAAATTAAGCACAATAGAATCGGTCAGAAGATCTAACATTTTATCACATAATAATAATAATAACAACACTGAAATGGTTGGAAAATTTCCCTCATTTACTAGTTCATAAGTCATAATTTAATGTATAGAGACTTCCCTGGTTCCCGGTGATGTGTGGGGTGCGATCCATTGGTTGTTAACCAGGGACGTAAACTAATGAACCACTTCACTTGGCAACAAAATTCTGCCTGTCAATCCAAATTACTTTACGGAGAACAATAATCTATTGTGATATGGATTTTCGGTATCTGAATCAATATCTTGGAAAGGGGAGTCTTGTTTTGAGAGCAGTATGTGTTTTCCTTTCGAGTATATTCTGATGTGAGTGAGTCTCAGATAACTCAAAATGTGTTATCTAAAGTCAGCTATTCGAGCTGTGGCTCTATGCGTAATTTGTGAATATTATTCTTGTCAGGTGTCTTATTTCCCCTTTTTGGAATATTCTAAACGCTACAGTGGAGTGTCACATAGGCAGTTCATTTGACTGGGAATTACTATTAGTTGTTTGATAACAATATAAGACAGAAATATGTCAATAGTTTAGTACAATTACACTCCTTCGCATGTGGTTTCTGTTTAAACTGGGAATCGGAAAAAAATGGAAATGATACCAGGTGTCGATGAACAGTAGGAAATAGAGGGAACAGCTAGCGAAGTATTCGTGATTTAAAAAAGGGTGACTATCTGAATGATCAATTTTTCCTCGTATTACTTATGGTCTTTAGCCAGTGACCCATAAGACATTTTTTAAGAAGTACATCGGGTATCCAACATTCATTTTTACTGGACTCAGATCAATCTGATCTAACAGAATGAATCTCAAGAGTAAGGAATCTCACTCTTCAGTTTCTAGTACGATTTCTGAAGTGCTTGGTACTAATTGAGGTTGGGAAAAAAGCTAGACAATCCAGATGTTGTTGAACACGTATTCTGTATTTAATACTGGACTTTAACGATTAGTTTGGTCAAAAGAAACAATTTTTTCCGAAATGTTGCTAAAATTGAAGATGCAGTTTTGTGTGTAAGCACTCATTGGAAATTTAATCATGATAAATTCTGAAATATAATTGTTCATATCAGATAGTTTAAGGCTTTAATCCTTTTCGGTTAATTTGCTGGTATCAAACACACTGATCGGATGGATGAACTAATACTCATCGGTTCATGATTTCATTTTTTTACCGTATGTATCGAAATATCTGTGTGTTTTGTAGACACGTGCAAACTTGTGAAAATAGTGAATCCAGATGAGCTTAAAATTTTTTGTATAAAGTTCTTAAGTTTACTTATTGTCTTCTGTAAACATGAATATGGTTTTATAGTGTTCCTCATTTCGCCCAACCGGATGAAATAAAGTGCATTTCAATTGAAGCAGAGTTTGTGTTGCACCTAGATCCCGCCTTGCCAATTTCAACAGATGCGATTCAACAACTTGAACAAATAACTGGTAAGCTTGTGATCTCTTTGCGTTTTTCACGTTCTAGATAAAATATATAGATGAATGTATTCCCTATTTTTAGTTTTGCTATCATGTGTCACATGACGAAAATCCTTGTCCCAACAGCATATATATATATATATAATTTTTGGATATCCAATTATCACTATTCTTATTATATACATTGCAAAATCGCTGAGACTGCACAGGTGATACATGCGGTTTTTATGGTATCGTAAGGATTTCTTTAACCTATGAGTAAAATACAAACCATAGCATACATTTACCCTAACCCCATTGCACTGTTCATCATAGTATGGTACCAATCAAAAATAGGAAAAAATGTGTTTTATTTATTTATTTTAAAATGAATTTGGTACAACACGTGCAACAAAAGATGCACCAAACAAGAAAGCAATAAAACAGTGTATGGAGGAGGAGTAGAATGATTGAGGGCTAGGAACGGGAAAACAGATATTCAAAGCGCATTCATAACTTCATGTTACCTTCAGCAAAAGAGAATTACAGCGTGTTCGCCATTGATTGCGATTATCTCGCTGACCTCACTCGGGGGTCGTGGTGTACCAAAAGATTCTAGCCTAATAAACTATCCTTCCCACGGCGCCTCGTCATGCACTGACCATCTCATGCCACGGAAATCATCAAAAATCTTATTTTTTAAAACATCTGAGATTCTAGGGGTTAAGTGAAGCCCGGATAAGAGGAACTGGAAAAAGCCCGTTTTCCTTTAAACCCGGCTGGTTATACATCATATTTTTATCCGTCAGTAGGTTTCTGCATGTGGGCGTAATTATCGGCTTTCGATACTTGCCTTATTTTTAGATATGAAGGTGGCGTTTGATTTTGCGAATCGAGAGGTGCTGCAGCAATGTCTAGCTGTGAAGAAAGTATTGAAAGGTATATTGTACCAATCAAGAGACTACTTGAACTCTTGTAGCCGTGTACAAGTTTACGGAGAGTTATAATCTGAAGAGACGACGACCAGTGCTTAGTAGGGAAGCCACCTGATGCCACTCATACTGAATTTCATCATAGATGTATTAATGAATGTTTTCCGCGGTCGGCTTCTCTATTTCAAGAATCGACTTTGGCTTGGGATGACGAACATTTGTAACATGGTGATAAGGTGATTCAATACATCAGATGTAGCTCCAGAGTGAAATCACTGGCTATTACGATGACGAGTTAATGCTTATTTCGAGCCTGCCTTCTGAGGACACTTACCATCGTTTTTTTAGTGGACACAGAGTGAAGAGGGAGTGAGGAGCCATCAAGTAGAGTTGCATCAGTGGGAGGAAGGCAAGGTAATAAAGATGAAGATGAAGACAAAGATAATTGAGGATTAGAGAGGTTTTGTGTGCATTTCGGATTGTGAGGGCGTTTGTTACTTCCCGGCTGCCCACACCGTGGAAGTTGGTTGCGTGACCGCAGAGCCCAGGGAACAACTGCTTGAGGTCGGTCACACGCGGCCTGTTTTTGTTTGTGCTCTTTTGTTTGGTGTGTCTCAGTAGCATACTTATCACTCCTGCCCTGTGACACGGCAGCAGGAAGCGCGGTCGTTGTTAATCCGGGCCACGACCGATCCGGCATGAAATTTTGTGAATTTGTTTGAATCATGGTATTGGATGGGGTAGCACTTACCAGTTAATTATGTTATTCTCTAGTCATCATTTTCAATCTTACCCTCATTACTTTGTTAAATTTTGTGGCTCATTACTAGGTGTCTATGCTATACAAGCTTCGCTTTTAACTGTAGCCTTTTGTTTTCATTGCATTTCTGGAAATATAAATTTTCTTTGTCTTCAACATTTACCATTCTTGTCTCGTGTTATTGTTCGTTGGTGTGGACGTAACTCCCGACAATTCTTCTTACACTCATGAGGGCTCGTTTTAAGTAATAACATTTTTGCCAGTCTGTCTACTGACGTTAGCATATTAATATTATTTATATATTTTTTCATTATAAAGGTTTGAGTAATACAGAAATCGCAGACCGCAAAGAGGAAGATATTATGGTGTTGATTTTACGACAGCACAAACAGGAGTATTTGCGCGGGATAAATACTCATTTAGTGAGCTAACACTTAACTTATGTCATGTTGTATTTTTTAAATTTTTTTGCATGTGTATTCAGTGCCACTAACTTTCACTCACCCAATTTAGCTCATAATTTAGTGAATATGTCTGTGACACTTCGGACTGATGTATCTGTGTACAAGATTTTGACTGGGTCTCTATATCATTTCTCGCATTTCGTCTGTGTGTAGAGGAAATCTGTTGGCTTCCTATCGAAAGTGTGCGCTACTGTAATATGATATCTTCATTGGGTATTTTTTCCGTGTTTTAATTTCTGATGTTTGGTATTACCATATATTTGACAACAAAATGAATAGCTTAAATAACAGACAGGATTTTTGTGTATTACTCAGTGTCGTAGGTTTTTGAAAGATTGATCGTTGAGTTTGAATAATGAATACATGAAGAAAATTCTGAGTTGAATATATCTCAACTAGTGGTTCCTAACTATCTCGTGAGGCAGTTAATATTTCTTGGTACCGTGTAATTAGTATTTCAGTTTCATAACTTGTTACGTGTTTTCTTCAGGTACATATAGGACACTCTACATTTCTTTGTCTCGATATCATGGTGGGAAATTTCGGTGAATGTAATTGCTTTAGTACTAACAGCATGCCGTAAAAGCCTATGTATATATTTCTCTTCACCACCAATGACGAAACTGCCTTTGAAATAACTCAAATTCGTTATGGTCGTTGGATGTAGGAAGAAGTAATGCTAGGATAACTTCTTCCAGTAATAGATTTGCTTATATCTCCAATAATTTGAGGTTTTTTTTTTGAGTAGTTGGTTGACTACATCAGTTGATATCGTTAACAATTTTTCTCTTTCATTCCATAATGCTAAGGCTCACTGGAATAAGCATTTGACTCATGGGTTTGAACTGCTGTCCTTGTAAAGAGTAGTATTATCAACCCCAACATCATGCATGTGGCTCATTGCCATATGCATCAGCATGCATGTGAGAGTTGGGCAACCTTTAACAAACAAATGATAGCATTTCGCTTTAAACCAGTTCAATTTTTGAGAAGTTGGTCTGCTACTGGAAAAGTGGTTTACGTGGTTGCTTTGCTCACACCACCTTTCGACATAGTAGCCGGCACAACTTAGTAGTCACTGGCTATTTTCGACATATTAAATCACTTGTATAAAAGAACTTTTCTCCCTAACACCTTTATAGGGTAACACTTCTTTGCAACTAACAAATCATATTTTCATTTTTATTATTTCCTCGATTTTTTATAGCGAAACCCGAACCTTACGCATCATTCTTATCAGATCCAAAGTGATGTTAAAGGTTATCTTGTCAGCTCTGTACCTTTTACTTGTTCGAATCAAATTGGCGAAATTATTTCTATACTCCGTAAACAAGCCTCAGCTTTAGCATTTTACGAAACATTCATTGTTCACCCTTACAAGCCGGTAGAGAAAGGTATGTTTATGCGACTATTGTGCACAGTTTATCATTAATTTTTTGAGTTATGTATTCCGTTCTGGGAATCCATAGATAGTTTGTCGCTCATTGGAGTGGTTACTAACATCTAAGATTATCCATGTTTCATATTTTCAAGCGAATGAAACTCTGAAACAGGATTGGATTTCAGTCCTTGGTTTCCAAGTTACAGTTTTGATACTTCAGGCAAGAAACTATAATACGCAATAGTTAACCAGGTCTGAGTTTTATCTGAGTTATAAGGTATTATTTCTGCTCCATTAACTTGGGTCTTGATATCTTGGTGTTAACATAAACACTCAAGCTGTATCAATATAAGTTATGTGTTTTAAAATTAGCTTTGGGTTCTATTTTATACAAGAAATGAAGTCTGTCAATGAGTTTCTCAACATGTATCTGTTGAGACAGTATGGTCATTTTTCCCGAACCATTATCTAATCTATCACGTAGTGCTAAGGTACTATTAAGTTACATTAAACAGAGTTAACTTGCGAAATGATTAATTATTGGTCTGGGGAACAAACCGACCATAAGCACTTAAGACTATGACGGTTTATTAGTTAAGAATAATAGTTAATGACGTCTACTGCCTTGGTCTAAGAGTTATAAAAGTGCATTTATTCTTTCATTCTATACGTAAACCGAATTTCGTTATTTTTCTTCATTATTCTTCCTTTCTGTTGATGTCTTCCGTGTTTATTTATTTGAATAATTAAAATTTATTGATTCTACAAATGGATATCAGAGCTCTTCAATCACAGAAGAATATTTTGGAATTGGGACTTGAATGTGTGCATATCTTGCTTGAACTGATATATGTTTGTTCATAGTTTTTGTTTACATTAGGCTTTCTTTGATAAATCCATTTTAAAAGTGGACATTAATGCTATTTGGATAGCGTTATTAGAAGACGGTGATTATCTGAAAAGTGTGATGTATTTGCGCCATACATTTCGAACAATCTGATCACACTTACTTGTCAAGTCGATATATATGAAACAGTTAAATTAAACAAAGTGACAAAAAAAGGATTTAAGAATGATTAACACTTTGTTTAATTTAACTTTTTCATATATATCGTCTTGGCAAGTAAATGTGTTCGAAATGTATAGCGCAAATACATCACATTTTTCAGATAATTTCCGTCTTTTAATAACGCTATCCAAATTTATAAAAGGGAGTAATTGTTTTAAATTAATGCTATTATTTTCTGACCATCAATTTGGCTTTGTTCGACTCATTTTCATTTCTTTCTTAACTCGTTAATTTTATTATTTTTCATATGAGTTCATATGACATTTAGGTGTATGGTCAGATTGTTCAAAGTGTGTTGTGCAAATACGTTACATCACTCTAACCAACTACGTCTTCTTGCCGTTGTTCTTTTAATGTTTCCAAACAAACTCATTGTTTCACAGTTTCCATTAGTCTTATAACACGGTATTTTGAGTTATGTTCCATATTTTTTATGATTTGAATGATCTAATAATATAATACAATATTACTGCATAAATTACAGTTGTCTACTGGCGTTTATTTTAGATTCTGATCTGACGTTTTCATTCAATATAAAAATCATGGCTGGTCAGATGGTTTCAGTAGAATTCAATGATCCTAATTGTCTTGGAGCAGAAGTTCATGGTAATTGTTCAAGTATTTTACTTTTAGTTTTCATGTAATATTTTTGGTCAATGTTGTCGGTAATAATAGGTCCTTATCCTTATGCTTTTTCTGCAGTGGTCATTGGCATATCATTGAATCTACTCTTTTAGTGCCGGCTTTGAAGTGGTGTTTAGATTTACTACAATGAGAAATTTCCATTTGTGAGACAACAAGTATCCACAGTTTTATCGGTCTAATTACAATAATTAATCAACCTACTATCTTTCCAGTTTTTTTACTCAAAATATTCCCGTTATCAATTAAACATTTCAATCGATTTATAAATATTCTTACTGTCTATTTCACAGCTTTATTGCATGTTCGACCGTTCGACGTTCAGTGTATAGAATTGCACTTCCCCTCCAATAAATCTAATCCAGTAGGTGCAAGTAACAGTGAAGAAGGAAAATCATTGTCACCTAGCAAACTATGTTTGGAAACTGAAAAATCTCTGATGGATAACTTCAGTAAAATTCTGACGAAGACTCACACACTACCGATTGGATTAGTTTGGTTATTGACTCGACTGCAATGCCCTATTCATAAACAACTAGAAAATGTGAAGTTACCTTTAGGTAATACAAGCAAAAGTAATGAAAACAGTCAAATTTCATCATCAATCAGTCAAAAGAAACTGAGTTCATTAAAAGCAATGATTAATCGTGTTAAAAACTCTATCGTAATTCGAGGTACCACTGGCACTGATGGTATACTTTGTGGTGGGCATCTTAAGACATCAGTGGATTTCGAGTCTTCATCGTTTACTGCAGCACCGATATTCACTCTGAATACATCAAACTATTTGAATGGTTCTAAGAAAATTCCTCCTTTGCCCCCAGGTGTTATGGCTACACCACCTCCAGCTTTTACTCATTTGGATACAAATTCAGGTATATATCTGTTATGCTTTGTACTTGTTGTTTCTTGTTTGTTACATGTAATTAAAATGTAAAAATGTTTGCTATTTCGTATTATTTACGTTATTTTATGCTTATCGATTCATTCATTTGTCACTCGCTATAGTAAATAGTAAGTCACGGTGTAGTTCCCATGTATGTAGTATCTGATTGTTCTTTTCAGTTAATTAATTGGCAATAAGATTAATTTTACTGACAATTCCAGTGTCCTACTCCTTGTCACTTTTGCGGTAGAGTCGAATAAAATTTGCCCATAACTGCTCATCACTTTATTTTAAAGTGGAGTAGCATACTGTACACATAAATATCACTCTTTGCTAAATTAATTTCACTTGTTGGTATTAGATGGTTGGAGGCAATCGGCCACAGGAAGCCTTGGATCTAGGTTTCGTGCTAGTTGGCACTCATCAGCAAGGCGTATCTGCAATCTTGAAGGAACTCATGTCCCTTCCGAGATTCGAACCCGTGTCACCCAGTGCTGCCATAATGGTGAGCCACCTAGCATGGTGGCCACATTGCAAGTATGACTGATAGAATTCAGTCTGCCTCGAAGATAGGACTAGACACATAACACTACTGACTAGTGTGCAATCAAAAATCTCCAATACAGTCCTACAGGAGGTCAGTCGCAAGCCTGTATAACTCAGTGGTAACATTTCTGACTGCAGCACTGGGTGACACGGGTTCGAATCTCAGAAGGGACATGAGTTCCTTCAAGATTGCAGATACGCCTTGCTGATGAGTGCCAACTAGCACGAAACCTAGATCCAAGGCTTCCTGTGGCCGATTGCCTCCAACCATCTAATACCAACAATTCACAATGCACCGTAATGGCGAGCCACCTAGCATGGTGGCCCTATTGCAAGCATGACTGGTAGGACTAGACACCTTACACTATTTACTGACTAGTGTGCAATCAAAAATAAGTTCACTTGTCTTTTATGCACACTTTTCATTGCGACAAGATACACGTGTTATCCAAATAGTTTATAAGTTTGGTACTTAGTCTTTAGAAAATGTGTTTAACATACTGAATGGAGTATTTACACTAGTGTCATCACCAGTATGATTTTGATATTCCATGTTGTTTTCACCTAGATACGTCAACAAAGGGTCACACACACACATTTTCAACAACGTATGTACATAGAGAGCGATTAGATGCATCATACACTATATGTTCAATCCAGTAAACTTCACTGTAGATAAAAATAATCAACTTTTTTTGTTCGGTGTCTTATCCGTAAACATCACAATGAGAACTTGGTTTGAAACATACAATGCTTTTCGTTCATTGATACCCTCTTCTAATATTAGTTCAATCAAACTGGTCATGGATACATTAAGTAGACGTTGCCATACTGTACTTTTCACATGATGTACGATAATATTAGGTAACACGTCACGTTGTTCATTATTATAAGTCTTTATATTTCCCAACATCACTTTATTTTTCATTCATCGGGAAATACAAAAGCATTTATGATAGTGAATGTCATATTGTAGCGTGTGCTACTGATGAAATAAATCAGTAGTATATAAAGAGACGCTCATCGGCTTAGAAATATCAAATAACCAATACTTGAATATCAATGAGATGCTTACTGGCGACCAGCCCTATTCAGGTAGGTAGTTACCTGGCGTTCCAGTGGGAAGTCGTGACCAGTAGGGTGCAGCAGGTCGGGTGTGAGAACAAATACTCGCCGAAGACATTGGCTAGTGGTTGTGCTATATCATGAATTGGCAGAAGTTAGAATTCGTGAGCCATTGTGTCGGGTCCCAGTGGCTCAGTGGTCTACGAGCTTGCCTTGTAACCAGAAGGTCCTGGGTTCTAACTATGTTGGTGGTTGCATATTACTGAAGAGTCCCAAACCAAGACGAAACAGCTGTTCAGTACTCCCAGGTTTTCCAATGACTCACTAACCAGTGTCAGCTCATGATGAAATCCTGTAACCAAACAAGGAGGTAGATTTTGACGTCAAAGAAAGCAAATGATTCAGCGTTTCAGAGAAACATGGGAGACATGAAAAGAAGTCAAGGAAACACAGCAGGAAGGAGAAAGTAGAGTTTACATAATTTCGCCATATAGAGATACCAGATTCCAAATAAACATTACATTACCAAGTCTCTTGTCTTCTACCGCTACTATATACCGAATGCGCAAATTCTTTCACTGTTAAAGGTGAACTTGGTGTGGGGATATATATGATCACGTAGGTGTTTGAATCAAAAACAAAGTTGACCTTTCTTCATATCAGCTAGAGGGCATATATTTTTGTTTACTGCATATTATATATAGCTATGAATACGACTTCTTACTACTTGCTCATATATTGATGATCACAACGGTTTTGTATACGTAGGTTTTCAACTAAAAAAAAAAACTAAAAAATTTTTCAATACTATTTATGAAATATATGCTTTCTTGATTCTAGCACACATCATTAATGTTTAACTTTACAGGTGACCTTGGGATTATTTCTTCATTGCGGCCTATGAATTCTCAAAACAAATTTCGTGATACACATTCTAATGCCATATCGACAGGTATTTCAACAAATCCTTCCCGTGGATTAAGATTAGATGACTTACTGGTTGATAGTACATTCCAGTCGCAACCACATGATCAACAACGTAATCTACCAGTTGTGTCATTTCCTCACTCATTGCCAACTTATGCATCAACTATTCCGGGAACCCATAGCACTATTTTACCTGATGTTAAAGATACCTATTCAAGCATTATTAACTCCAACATTTCTGTTTCAAATCATTCAATATCTGGTATGCATTCTACATCACAAAAGTCTTCAACATCTATTCTACCTGGGTCGAATAATATTATTCCTAGCTCGTACAGCATACCTTCTATTTCTGTTACCTCTTCCATTTCAATGACGTCCAGTTCGCTATCTGTAACAAAATCAAAGAGTTTCACGGGTTGGTCTATGATAATGCGTTATGTAATGATCTTTTATGCGTAGAAAATTAAAACACTATTCGCTTTATTTATTTAAGGGTCAATTTTTCAATTGTCGAATAAACTTATGATGTCATCAACTAAAGTAGAAGTTCATCATGCACTTTCATTTTCTTTATATTTATCCAGTTTTGTAATTTATTAATTGTCTGGTGGTTGCTCAATCTTTTCGCGGTACTTCCTGCACTGGTTGTGGGATAGCTGTTTGACTATTGAATTTCAATTTGTTTTTGAACGATAGTGGTTTGGGATGCAAACCATCTCATGTTTTCAGTTTTTTGTTCATATGATGATACTAGTTACAATCTTAATTTAATTTTTTAATTCCTCTGTATTAGCCTCTCCGGTCATCGATAGTTCAAGAGGTTCTTCAACCAGTGGATCTATGCTTGTCAATCTCTTAAACGAAGATTCACTTCCCAATTCTACCCCTTTGATTTCTCCATCTACAATGTCGGATCGTCACCTTTATACGTCTAGTCATTCCCTAATAAATCTTCAGAATGTACCTCTGACTTCATCTGCAAATACAAATGTTCCTAGTAGTCGACTCTCTGGTTTGATGTTACCCAATAATACACCAGCTGTCAGTTCAGATACACAGTTATCTCAGGGGTTCGGAAAGCCTTTGAGTTCATCTGCACCGAACCTCACTGCAAATAGCTCTCAGTACCTCCCTGTTCGTCACTCCAATCCAATCACATTGAATTCTGGCCGTACTAAACACTCAAACATAAAGCACGGGCAAACTGGTTTGACTTCTGACCCTGCGACAAATGCTAAAAAACCTCGGAAAAGACGTCGAGGGACAGTAGAAAGTGGTTTTAATTGCGTGAGCAATCAAAAAGTTAATACTCCTCCGGGCGTGTACCCCAACTATCCGACTTCAAAGCTTCAACGTGTTGATACTACGTCACCTAGTGCTACTAATTCAGTAACTGGATCCTATCAACGTGCTAACTTTAATCAGACAAATCCAAATTTTGTTCCGTGTTCAGTGTCATACGTCCAACAGAGTACAATGTCGTCTACTATACAGACTTCCAGTATGTCTATTTCTAATCCCAGTAAATCAGTATATGACTTTGACGATACTCCTGGTTCAATGTTTGATGTTCCGGTTGGAAATATATCATCTTCCAATTCCTTGTCGTTTTCAAGCGGGTCCTCATTGACAAGTCCTAAGTCGAGTGTATCTGCGAACCCACTTCAGTTGAGTGGTTTGACAGTTAGCAGTTCTAACCAAATTGCAAACTATCCTGTCACAACAACTGTGGCATCGACCTCCAGTCTGGAAAGAACAATCGAAAGAAAAACAAGTCTGAAAATGACTATTAAAACGATTCCATCCCAGCCAGTTACTTCGACTCCTAAAACTGGAGTAAATTTTAGTCAGAATGAAATTGACAAGTATAACAGAATGCAGTCCGTTCAGTCGAATTCAATGCCTTCTAATACACTTGATTCTACTAGAATGGCAGATCAAAACCATCCTTTAATTTCTGTTAAAAAGCGCAAAAAACGTTCAGTAGAAGGAAAACCTTCTGCATATATGTTACAAATGCTTCAGTTAGCCAATTCTTCATCAATGAGTGGTTGCGAAACCTCAATTATTACTACTAGCTCTGGTATTGATGCTTCTGGAACACCTGGTCAGCCAGAAATCACTTCCGTTGTACTAAATAATCCTAACTTAAAACACATCAAAGGAACAAACAAAGTAGTCGGTCACGGTTCCGTTTTAGTGAAAAAGGAACGTAAAAGACGATTAGGACATGGTTTTACTGAGAAGACCCAGTTTTCTTTTATTCCAAGTAGCAGCACTTATAATCAATTGGCAGAAATCAACGAAGCTTCAAATGTGCCAAAGCCAATTAAAATAAATCGTCTTCAGAAACCGAATACGGATATGCCAAGAGATATTATTACTGGGTCAGTAGCTAATACCAATATGTATAGTAATTACGTATCTGTGTCACCAAACTCCCTTTCCTCAAAAAAGAAAGTTTCTGCAATTACCTCTTTTTCTGTTGGTTCTGGTGTGACGAGTGGGTCCTGCAATGACGATATGCTTGTTGCCAAGCGATTATTTCCTTCATCTACTACTACATCTCTAGTAAACAATGAAAAACGCAAAAGAAATGTTGACACCCTGAAACAACCTGTCACTTCTCAGCCTAGTTGTCCCACCTCTAGTACCCCAAGTGATCCTGCGTTCACTGCGTCTCCACAGTTTGTTTCTGCTAGTTCAGATCCATCTCCTAATGGCAATGCGGCGCGTAAAGCACCTCGATTACCTCAGAATTCAGCAGCGAACTCATCACGGGCACTAACTATCCCTACAAATCGTATTCAGTCTAGTTCAGTATGTAGTACAACAGTCATGAATTCCAGTGCAACAACTACAACTATTGTTAACTCATCATCTGGTCTAATTAAAGGTTATAAGATTCCAAAAAAGAAGAGCATGATCACCGAGGGTTTACCTAACATCCAATTACCTGATGCAAGTAATGAGAAGTCATCCGGAATACTTTCTTCTACACTTCGACATATACAAGAAAATATTTTGTATCGTGATACTCCAGATTCTCAGTCACCGGAAAGATCTAATGAATCATCTCTAACCATTGTTGAAAACTTGTACTCAAACTCTAATGATCGTAATAATGAGTGTACAGAGACCATAAATGCAAGTATTTTCAATGATCCAGAGAATAATAACAATGATGTTGCGTTGATTACATCTGATTCTCTATCAACTTTCCCTCCTGCTAGTGTTGACAATTCCATGCAATCAGTATCTCATGCAATAACACCACAGTCTAATACATCTGCATCTGGGCAAATTGCGCAATCATTTCAACAACAGTTGCCACGTAAGTCTTCAGTAAAAAGCATTAGTGACATTGTTGACAAGTTACGAGCAAAGTCAACCACTGGGGTCCCTTCAGTCACTACGCCCACATTTGTGAGTGGCTCGTCCGAAACCGGGAATTCGGACACAACAATAACTACTACATCCGACACTCAAGAGTTGAGCTCTGACGTGGCTGATCAGGTCGTTTGTATACGTAGTATGCCTAGAAGAGGTGATGAATCTCAAGAGCAATGGCGAGATAATATTTTTGAAAAATTTTGCCATAGGTTAGTTTTCACTGTTCTACTATGTCATTTACTGTGATTTTACCTTTATCTTTAAATTAAACCCCGTCGTCTAATCATTTATTTTACGTGAGAGAGTTCATTTGGGAAATTTTATGTACTTGCATGTGTTTTACCCGGAATTATGCTTTCTAGGTGGCAGTTTATGTTATTAATGTGTACAATGATTTCCCACACCAAATTCAGAAAAGTAATTGAACAGTAAAACTTTTTAAATGATCAAGTGTTTTTCGTGAGATTAATAAAGTTATGTGTAAAGTGTGTCATATAAGTGTTTTAGTTGATGCATATTGAACATTTCACTAGTGCTTTAAAACTCTTATACTGAAGTTAGGTGGAGAGTTAGAAAGTCAGTAGCAAATGTATCCAGTATAAATGGAGCGACACTTGTTCCGGATACGTGGGAAATTGCATTATATAAACAGGAGGGATTAAAATCTATACAAAGCAAGTTAGGAGGTCGTTCAGAAATACTCATATAATCATGGGCAATAAATTGTGCTCTAGACTCCATCCAGTTTTTAATAATGCTACTGTCTTCAAATTCTTCTCTTACATTTCATATACTGAATTCTACATTTGTTCATATGAGAGGTTTAAAATAACACGAAAGTTGACTTCAAAGTATGATTTGCATCCTAATTGCCGACTGAGTTCTCGTTAGTTTTAAGGAGATATAAATTCATTCATCCATTGTTGATCATTTTCATATCAAGAGGAGTTAGTGTACTTTAAGTTGTATCAAAATTTGCATTTACGTTAAAGTGATGAGGTTATACTTATATTCCTTCACTTCTCAGGTAGTCGAAAGCAGTTGGTATTAGATAGTGTGAATGCAGGACGATGAAGAAATTTAGTAGCTCATGGGGATAATACAACATCTGGAGGAGTTGTCTAGAAAGAAATTGAAATATTATTGAAATATATTAATACGCCAAGTGTAGAGAACACAATTACACCAATATAATGTAAATATTCATTATGGATAAAATTTTATTTTGATAGAATCACAGTCAAACTTAATAAAATCCGAAAGATTAGCTCTAATCAATCTTAAAAATGATAGAAAATATCGTTATCACAAAAGCTGATAAAGGAAACTACAGTAGTGTGTGACAAATCTGATTGTATAGAGAAAGTCACTGGACACATTTAAACGGGTCCATATGAGGAAATTAAGAAGCCTGTAGATACAGTAATGAATAAGATTAAGAAATCTACAACGGATTTAATTCGTAGTATGAAGCTGTCACTGAGTAAGTCTAAATGTTTTAATTTAATACCTAAAATTAATAACTCTAGTAGAATATATGGTACTATAAAAATACATAAGACCATAAGACCAGTATTAGATTTCAGAAATACGCCGACGTATGAATTATTAAAACACAGCTCTAATACTATGTCCCATTAGAAATCATTCAGACTCTAGGCTAACCAATTCATATAAAATGAAAAAGAAGCTAAATAACATTCAATTAAAGAGTAATGAAAGAATGATCAATTTTGATATAACTAGCCTGTACACTAACATAACAATCAATGTGGCCTTAGAAGCAATTAAAAGGGAACTAACTTCTGATTCCGAACTTAGTCATGGAACAAAGCTGCCCATTGAGAAAATTATTTTAGGAATTCAGTTATGTCTCGCATCAACTGTCTTTAAATTCCAGGGCAAAATATATAAACAAACAAATGGTGTACCGATGGGATCACCAATATCCCCTATCGTAGCAGATATCTTTAGGGACAGCTGGGAAAATATTGCTCTAAATACAATTAATCCTACTCCAAAAGTATGGTAGAGGTATGTGGATAACACTTTCACAGTGTTAAAAACAGAACATATCTCTAGCTTCTTCACGCACACATAAACTCACCAGTGAAGGGAATAAAATCCACATTTGAATCGGAAAATCAACAAGGAGAATTATCTGTGTTAAATTGTAAAATAGAACGAATAGAAGAAGGCGAACTACACACTAGCGTTGATAAAAAACCAACGCATTCTGCTAATAGATATTTGAACTTTAATTCATCTCATCTGTTTGTTATCTGTGAAGACAGGCTTAGTTAAGTGTCTAACAAACCGAGCAACAACACCAAGTAGCACAAAAATAGAACTGAACGATCAAATGAAACAGATAGAAGAGGCGTTGGTGTTGAATAACTATCCTATAAAATTCATTAGGAATATCAAAAAAGGTCAAAAGCAAAATAAAAATAATAGTGGAACTAATAATGATAAAACCTGAATAAGGGAGTATATAAGGCATCTACAGTTCTACCTTATGAGGATGGGACATCTGAAACTCTACGTAGGATTCTTAATAAGGCAGGAGAGTGGCATTCAAACTTACAAGCTCACTCACGTGGGACAAGCTCTGTAGGCTAAAAGATCCGGTGGACCCAGTTAAACAAAGTAATATAATTTACAAAATACCCTCAATGACTTTGAGGTCAACTATATAGGTCAAACTAGTAGATCGAGGGTAATCAGATTGTCGGAACATAAGAATTTAGCTAAGGGGAGAATGGTTGACTCCGAGAAGATAAGTAATTTGGCAAAATGCTCAGCAACCGCACTTCACGCATCAAGATACAACCACACAATAGGGTGAGGGAGGGTTAAAATTCAAATAAGTAATGTAGTTAGGTGGAGGGAGATCGATTACTGAATCCTGGTTCATCGACTCCACACTCAACACATGCAGCAGAAATGACTCAACGCAAATATGAGAGATATTAGAGATATTATTACCAGTCAAATCGGAGAATAATAAATAATGTTAAAATGAATTCAATTCACACTATAATATTCTAACAAGTTACTTATTTTTACTGCAGAAAGCATCTTATTTCCCATGTGACTGCATTTGTTTGCTAACACTAATATTATTTCTGATTGTACATTATATTGATTTTATTCAAATATCTAATTAGTTTCACTCATGTATATGAATGAAGCAGGAAAGTTGTGTGATTGAGTACCTTGATATGATAATGAGCATTGATTTGTGCTCGAAGTGTCACCAGTTAATATTACTTCATAACACTGTGATTTTATCAGAACAATATTTTATCCATGATGGAGTTATACTCTACCACAGTGTCCAAGTTTTATCCTTATATCAATAATGTATGTTAGGTGGTTTATTTAGTCTCTTCCACGCATATTATCTTCCATGAATTTCTAATTTTTTGGATCATGATTATTCGTTAATAATACAGAGAACGAACAGTTGTTATACTTGTCAGCGTGATAGATCTCAGTTTGCAAATAATTACTGAACATAAGAAATTATATTTTAGTCTGAAACAGACTTCAGTCTGTTTCTATGTATGCATACTGTTAATTCCATCAGTTAAGATATAGTTCACTAGTTTAAGCATACGATTTTGGTCATTGGGTCCCGGCTTCGAATCTTGCTCCACCTATTCCAGCCTGGGCGACTGGGTAGTACTATCGACACCCTCACTCACTAAGTGTGACTCATAGCCCAGTATTGGATGACTGAGTAATACCTTACTAACATCAGCTTACAAAACGGTGGTGTAATATACTATTTTACCTAAATAATATGTCAAATTAAAAGAAAAATGCCGGAAAAAAAGTTGGACATAATTTCAGTGTGTTGGACTTTTTGTAATTCAAGCAAACCTGTGCAGCTTCATTGAATTTTATGTTGGTAAATGTCATCATAATGACTAGAATAGCTCTCCTCTTACATGAAATTCTATTGTTGGGTAACTTATTCAGAGAAAGGAGATCTATTACTACAGGAAAGTTTTAGTCATTGTTTGCCAAGCAAAAGAAATTGGTTATACTCATGTATTAGTCGATGAAATGGATAATTTGTTTAAAATAAGTGTTATACTTTCGAAAACACGACCTTCGATTTTATCATATACTGCAGCTCTGTTTAAATATGAAAGTCCAAGTCTGCCATTTTTTTTTCTACACATGTTTCACTTCTTTTGTGTATTTTCTCAGTACTAACTAGTATTTTCACGTTTGTTGCGCAATTTGTTTTTAAGTGGAACACCAACTCCACATCAAGTAGAAGCTGGTCAAAGCAGTTTGTCCAAACTGGATTCTGAAGGGGATTTAGCGGCATCGAATGATGTTGATGAAGAACCTACTTGGGTTGCTGGCGATAAAGGCACATCAATCACTAATCCTAGTGAACAATGTATACCTATGAGCAGTGCTAATACGCTTGGTCTTTCTGCAAATTCTCAGTCTACTTCCGACTCAGATGGAAAGCAAGACAGAGAACAATTTGAGGTTTGTTGTATGCTTTTTCATTAGAATCGATTTCTTAATATGTAGTTTTGCTTTAGTATTACTATTATTATTTACTGCTTAGGTTTTCTGGCACCATTTATCAGTAGAAAGTCAACTGGAGGAGTAGTTGTCGGAATATAGTTTCCATACTTCATTGTGGATCTATTCTGTCTTGAAATTTTGATACAAACATTTTTTCTTCGTCTCCAACTTCGCTAACAGTGACAACTTGAGACGATATATTTCTGTGCAAGCTTGTTTATCAATCTGTCTGATGTATTTCAGTGGAAAACCGGATAACAAATAAACGATTCTCTGGCTTTGCAAATTGTCCCTTAGTTTCCGTTCAGTTACATTTGATGTTCCTAATATTGCTTATTTGTTCTTACTTAGTTGTAGTAGGGTCCCAAACTTTTCCTAATAATGAAAACAATCTATTATTGTATTTCAGTCAAGTAGAGTAGTGAGTTTTGTGTTCCGCATGGTTGAAAATAGTTACCCTTTGGAATGTCCCATGTCTAACATTATAAGACTATCAGTTTTCAATTTGCTTAACATAACACTGAATCCTTTTATACTCGTTTTGTTACTACACCCTAACACCTGTACATTTCCGCTCATAATATTTCTTTTGAATTTCCTTTTTTGTCATTTCTCGAGTGTTACGACTTGAACTGCTGCACTTCTATACAGAGTTCTACTTCGAAACTGAGTCGGTTAGTCAGTTTAACGTCTGAGTATGCCTTTGTGCATGAAGCAAAAAGCTCTACAGATTGTATGAAAACTATTGATACTAATCAATCACTTGAACTCATATTTGCGACCGTCTGATTTAATCGTTAACCATTGAAGGATCATTAGACTACAGCTTTTCTGCTGAAGAGTCTACTTTGTAATAAGTTAATTAAGAGCATATATACTGGTTCTTATATATCCTATTATTTCATGTGGTAGTGCTGTGACAGAAGACAAGAGACTTAGTAACGGAATGTTTACCAGGAATTTGATTTAGGGAAGTTATGTATACCTTGTCTTAAAATCATCATTTGTCACGGATCTCTCGTGTTGTGGTACTTGTGCCGTTCCTTCGTATTGTGTTTCTTAACTGCGGAGATTATTTTAACTTTAACTTCTTGTTATTCGGCTTCAATGCTTCTCCTAGTATATTTCAAGCTGCTATAAGTGTGATGATAGGTCAGCTATTTCATTCATCCACAACCCAATGGAGTCATACTGGGTTGTCCTTTTTGCTTTCTGATCAAATATACAGGAACATGAGATAGTCTAATGAGTAATCATAATTCAATTTTTATTTCATACGCTCAACAACAAGAGTGTTATTAGTAATCATGTGTATAGTAATAATAAGTGTTCGTTTGTAGGAATTTGACTGATTGGTTTCAGGATTTCACCATGAGCTGACATCTGTTGGAGAACCATTGGAAAACCTGGGAGTACTGGACCAGTTACCAGTAGGGTACAGAAGGTCGGCCATGAGTCCAAATACTCGCCGAAGATATTGGCTAGTGGTCGCGCTATGTCGTGAATTGGTAGGAGTTGAAATTTATGGACCATTGGATCGGGTCCCAGTGGCTGAATGGTCTATGAGCTCACCTTGTAATCAGCAGGTCCTTGGTTCGAACCCTGTCGGCGGGTGCATATTATAAAGAGTCCTAAACTAGGAAGAAACAGCTGTCCAGTACTCTCAGGTTTTCCAACGGTTCTCTAACCGATGTCAGCTCATGATGAAATCCTGTAACAAAACCATATAGTGTTGCGTATGACTTCACGAATATATAAAACAGCATAGTTACACAAACAGATGTTTCACTTTTGCACAGACGTGTACTCATCAAATAAATAATAGGAGCAAAGAAAACAAAAAGAGCTGGAATGATGTAAAATGGATATGGAACAGTCGATAAAAGTGGTAAGAAAAAAAGTTAAAAGTACATAAGGACAATATAAATCTGGTTAGGTCTTCTCCGGCGTAAGAGGAAGTGACTTTACGAACTTTTTATGGGAAAAACAGTTTAGAATTTCTAGTTTAAATGCTCATGGCTTTAGCTAAATGCATTAAACAAATACGAAATCCATCTGGAAAATTCAATGGGATATGTTAAAGTCACCTAAAATGCTTTTTTCGTTCATATAATGAAACGAATAGTTGTCATTAACCAGGCCACAGTGGGAGATCTTGAGACACACTGGCTAAGTCGTCTAGTTGCACGTCCAGTATAACTGTATTCACAAGCGCAGTTGAACTGATAAATACCGACGAACCTGGCGAAATTGGCTACCTTATGACTCCTTGATTTATTACCATTCATTGAATGGAAGATAAGCGACACAGATTTATCATATGGAATGTCATCTTATAGGTTCTTGTGAATCCTCGTGATTATAATAAATGACCTTTTGTATGCACACTACTCAGCTTTTGTTAATGAAACTGTAACGGTAAAAGACGAGAGACTTGGTAACGGAGTGTTTACTAGGAATTTGATATAGAGAAGTTATGTATACCTTATCTTAAAATCATCATTTGTCACAGATCTCCCGTGTTGTGGTGCTTGTGCCGTTCCTTCGTATTGTGTTTCTTTGTCTTCTGTTCGTGTCTCCCATGTTTTTCCGTAACACAGAGTCATTTACTCTCTTTGACTTTGAATCTATCCCTCCGCTACTTGATATTTTCGTGCCCATCAAGGTCTCTTCATATACTACTGATAAATCGTTTCCATAGTAAACGGCACACTACTAGCACAATCAGTAACCCAATATAAAAGCATGTCATTGTGTCAGTTTTCTAAGTATCGAATGGTGATTTAGTCTGATTATGAAATGCTGATTGATGTCGTCTTAGATGCTATCGTATCTCGGCGTTTTAAACACATGACATACAACATGTTCTTGTAGGGATTACAACTTGATTACATAACAAATAATACATGTAGCCATTAAGTATTTGTTTATGGTTCTTATCTCACTAAGTGAATTTCTATTTATCTGTTGTTCGGAGTATCTACTTATTGTGATACTACACTGAAATATGTTGACAAAACAAGTTCTATTCTCTGGAAAGTAATATTTATTGGTTTCATTGTAACCAGTGGAATTCACCTACTTCAGTGCTTTTGTAATTACTTCTATAGTGCATTTTGTTGCTAATGAAAAGTTCACTGCGCCTAATATTATCATATTTGCTTTTCTTTTCCACTATTCAGATCATCAAGGCTAATACAGATACTCCAGCATCACCTACAGAATTCTTAACCGATGTATCAACACCTACTTCGAATGTTTCAAGTAAAATTATCCCAATATCTCCTACAAGCGGAAAGTCTATTGCTTCCCCGAAGTCTCTTTCTAGTCCTAATGTGAAACCCAATATAATAAGACATAACTCTGCACGCTTTGAGAAGAAAACTGGATCTGGACGTTTTTCTCGATTAAGTGGAAATGGAATGACGCTACATGGTAGCCTACTTCAACGTAATAATTCTGATAGGTATACAATTTTTGACATAATATTATGTCGTTGACAAGTGATTTACACCGTCTAAATTTGATATTACTTTATATTTGTTTTTTGTCTTTCTTTTTACGTCTATATCTCATTTTTTGACTTTATGTGATTCCCAACTAAGCATGCATATTATGTGGCAGCTTATCATTACTGTTTTTTCTGATCATTTGAGATCAATTAAGATTAAGTTGCCTTATTCTAGTTGGATATTTGATGTCTGATATGTCGCATAAACTCAAAAAGAACAAAGTTTTCATGTGTCAGCCTGATGGAACCTAATTGCCTAGACTAAACTACGTCGGAGTGGGGTTCAAACACTGAGCCTGTCATCTGAAAGTCTAGTACTTGAGTCACTGAAGATCCTCTCCATTTCTAACTAGTCGAGGTGTGGTTCATAGGTTTAAGCACTCGAATTTCAGTTACAGGTTCGAACCACACCTTATTTTCCTCGGTCTTGACTGGTTGTGTTCAGAGGTTTTCATTCTTGTGTTCATCCGAATTGGCATTGACCATTTTGTTGACCTGGTGCCTGACCTTGCTCCTTATTGATTAGTAAACTTGTTTTATGTGAACATGTCTGTTGAGTGCAGACTGATCTGGATATCAGACTTCTTGTAATTCCCTGGTATTATCCATAAATCTGCTATTTAAAATGTCGACGTTTTCTCAGTCAAATTAGTGTCCAAGGTTGTTCACATGTGATGATATGAAGAAATACGTGCCATGACTTTGGACCATGATTTTGTATTCTTGATTACGACGTCTAAAGGGGTATTGTTTTTGGCTATGTTATTATGTTTTTCGCACTTGATTAACCCTAGTAATGATTTCAGAAATGTACTTCATATGTGATATAATGAATTTTGAGACTAAAATTAAAATAATACGGATTTTTGGGAATTTCACATCAGGCTTTACAACTGTATAATAAAATATTAATCATGGCCACTTGAAACCAATGTTCAGGCGTGTATGTATTAGTGGATCATTTCCTTTTAGCTTCCGTGTGTGTTTTGCTCATCATTTGATTTGAGTGTACGCATTTTTTGCTGAAGCTTCTGGGGATATCCTCTTTTTTGAAGTCTGTCTTCCTTTCTCCTCAGGACTGGGGTGTTGGAGTTTATCTTAGCTTTTTTGTGCAGCGTCTGTATACAAATTCTTTTGTGTGCTGTTGGATTATCGCTTTTGTAGTTGAGTATGCAGTCTGTGTGGTTTGTTTCTAGATTCCTTCTACTTGTTCGCTTGACAAAGGCATCCGAGAAAAGTTTTTCTTTATTGTCCGATTTCTTTTCTTATGTGAACCTGATGTCCAAAAACATCTGTGTGAGTGTTTTCTAAACCATTTCTTGTAATTATATCCACATAAATATTTAACATTTTTCTGTTGTCACAGTTTATTTTTCTAATTGTCATCTTTTGTCAGTAGAATAGGCAGTGGCATAACCTTCACTAGTGTCTGAAATAATCTGCATTTTAGAATTTGTACCAAAGGTAATGGGGGTCTTTTTGAAACTAGTTTTCTAAAACACTTCTTGTTGTTTCACACACTTTGTTCACTTTCGTTTCTGTCTCTGTTCTTTATTTTCTCTAATTTCCCTTATAGTTATGGTCATCCTGGTAGTGGACTTGGTCATCCAAATCGTCTTTTACGCGGTGGACTAAATAATCCGGTAAATTGTTTTGCCTTTCTACTTTCCTGGACATCTTTGTCTTTCCACAAATTTGACGAGTCCAGTCTATTTGAAGCATTTTTGACTAGTCTGTTAATTTTCATACATTTGAAAGTGATTTGTTAAACAAACCTCTCACTGTTGTCATGGTCTGTTTCACATTCTATTTCAGCGGTTTCGAATATTCAAAAATATTTATGCGCTATCGTCGTTCGTCCTTCTTCCCAAGGATGAGTAGTCATTCTTAAAAATTTGCTTGTTTACTATTTGTCTACAGTTCGGCGGGAAGATTGGTTTAAAAATCTCGTTTTAACTTCACACTTTTTAAAATGTATTCAAAAAGTCACTTTTTATTAGAATAAAAAAGTCTGTCACCGGAGAAACGATTAGTTACATCGGAATATTGTTGTCAAATATCACTGACGAACTGTTTATTATTGATTCAAAAGCTGTTGATCATCTGTAATTTGGCAGACTACTATTGATTCAGTGGTGGTGAAATTCTGCTCAGCAGTAGGACTCGGTCTATCAGTTCGGGGGCGCTGCCATGTAAGTCATCAGACCCAGCTGTGGACACAGGTCATCTTTTCAATGAATCACTACATCTTTATCCCTAGATCAGTGTATAATAAACTACATTTGTCATCAGGTGTTTTCACGAGGACTTTCTTGGTACGCTTTGATTTTTATCACAATCGTATGTCAGTTGTGCGTCGGTGGTATAGCGGTTAGGATGCTCGCCGACCATGCACATAGTCCGGGGTTCGATCCCAGGCTACCAACGCACTCCTTTACCTCGCTGAGCCAGAAATAATGCCGGTAAAGAGGAAAGGTTGGACATGGGGCTAGCAACCCCATCCTGTACAATAAACACTTCTACAGAAATTTCAAGCCACTAGCTTGAAGCCCTATGTACCACTGGGGAACGTGAAGGAAAAAAATTATGACAGTTATTTAGTTAACGATAAAAATAAAGGTAGGGAGGAGAAAAATGATCATGATTAATTTTGCAATGGTCGTTTTTCAAATGAAAATAGTATAACTAGTAGATAAATTAAATTAGTTAAACTGCACTAATACTTGCTAGCAATATTACCAATAGGCTTTTCCAATCTTCTTTCAGGCACAGTGGCATAAAGGAAGAGTGAGTATTAAATCAGTTTTCATTACTAATCTCAAACACTAATCTAATCTATGGTGCTATTTTGCTGTAGTAAAAATTCATAGTAGAATTTATTTTGAAGGTGAATCATGTAGTATGGTTTTAAAGTTAATTTGTATGTAGTATCTATATATGTGTATAGCAAATAAATTTATTATAAGCTAATAATTGGTCACTTGTGTTGTAATGTCAGTATTAAATGTTATTTTGCTCACTTTTGATTGAGGAATTGATAATACTCATTGAAAATTGATATTTTCTAGTTTATGTGATCAAGAAAATAGTCATTTCAAAGTAGTGGTAGTCGGTGTTGTTGTTGTCGTTGTTTCTATTCACAACGGGAACTTTTAGTTCTGAGTATGAGGCCGAATAAAAAAAAAGATGTCTAAAAACCTTTGGGAGAAATGTTGACATGGGATTTCTTCCCTTTTTCAGAAAGTATTTAAATAAATAATGATGTATACAATTGTTAGTTGGTAGGGATTTAATCAGTTCCAAGTTTGATCGCGGATTAATAGAAGTTAGAGTATAACCTAAAACCAAAGGATGCTTGGCACTCTTCAGCAGTATACTCTCATGTCCCCACCAGGTACTGAACTTAGGAACTTCAATTTAAGATGTAAACATAATTACTGGCTGATGACATTGGCTGGTGGTGGCTCTAAGAGCTGAGAATTTGCGTACGTTAGGATTGAAGAGCCACTGGATTCCGTCCCAGTGGCTAAATGGCCTACTGAAGAAGAGTCTCCATCTGGGAGGAAACAGCTCTCCAGTACTTCCTGGTTTCTAGTGGTTCTCTAACTGATATCAATCCGAGTTTAAACTTGAAATTAATGATGCTTTGCTAAATAACCTCATGAACAGAAATTACTTTGGAAATGAACCAGTCTTGTGATTTTGTTCACATAATCACCAAATTGGCTTTTTCTACCGTCACCTTAATCATAAAGCACAAAAATCCGGATAAAATTGTTACAGCGAGCGAATCATGATTTCTGGCAATAGATTTCCAATTAGTTTTCTATTCATAGAATTAATTTGAATCATTGTCAAATATTAATATACTGATATTGCTATAATATTTCAACTGTTTGTTTGGCTTCAAAGCGAATTGTCTTGCCAGATATATTAGGTACTATATTAGGAGTTATAATGTTCCAAGCTCACTTATATCTTCTTATAAAAGTACGTCTTAGTATTTTCACCACCTTTCTTCTATAGACATTAAATGTATATTGAACACTTCTACCATCCATGCGTCTTTCCATATTTAAATGAAACTTTAATCCCTTCGTTATAATAATACTAGCCAATCACTTGTACAGAATAATTCTGTTAAAGATGTATCCCCCAATGCTAAATTCACTTCAAATTATATTAAGATTTGATTCACGTACTGCTTTCGTTTATTACCATAGATGAAGGCCTTTCATTTGCATGTGTTGCTTTCTTTTCTGTTTACAAAATATATCAACCCTTAGCGTAACATGATCAATTTATATAATACAGATATATATGTGTGTGTATGTTCTACAAGGTTAATTTTTTCAAATTGAAAATGTAATCTTATTATTAACAAAGCATGTGATGACAGTGATTTTTTTGTCGCACCAAAATATAGTAAATCACCTACTGGTTACTCTTTTTGTTCTGGTAGATAAATGTATATTATTCACTGTCTCTCATTTTTTGCTGAACTGTTTTCTTCACTTTTCCTTTTTACTAATGTATTGTGCTTACATATGTATAACCTGTGTTAGACAAACTGTTTATCCTTTTGTTTTTTTCCTTAGCACCATAGTAAGGCGCCAAATTTTAAACCACCATCGAATTGGGGCTCAATGAATCTGGACTATAGTAATATGGGTGTTTCCCCATCCTCTTCTGCTTCTGCTGCCGCCGCTGCTGCTGCTGCTGGTGCTCCTCCCGTTCCAAACGATGTTAACAATGGGAATATGGGTCATTGGATGATGAATAATGGGAATATGAATCCAAACAATTTGAATATGATGCCGTATAATAGTCCGCATTCTTTACCACCTCATCATCCATATCATTCTGCTCCTAGTAGACCTATGCGACCGAATTATCCTGGCCTTAGTGGAAATACTGGGCATAATCTATATAATGCTGGTATGATGCGAGGAAATAAAAAATAAACACCTAACTTTTAAACTGTCTTCAATTTTAAAACCTTTGTGATGTATGTATATATATCTATCTATCTTTTGTTTATTTTTATCACTCAATCTTTAAACCTCCTAACCTTTTAACTTTATTATTTTTTAAATTCAAACTCTGTGAAATAACAATTTAATTGCTGGATTGCTATGGTCAGAAATGCAGACATTGTACTGTATAACACCGACTGCATGCATTAAGCAATCGGACGTATTTATAGTCTGGGTTGGGGGGGGGTGTGGCAATGATACTCCATAACTCTCCATCCTTAGATATCTTAGATTGACTTTCAACTGATGATGCATTGGTTGAAAGTCGAAACACTGTGATGATAATGGTGTTCTTTTAAATTATATTTACTTTGTTTTTATTTGTCCTTTGTACTTTTCTCTCATCTTTTCATTATACTTTTTATGTGATTTCATTTTCATTCACTCTGGCAAATGATAACAACGAGTCAATACTAACTGTGAAATATTTGTTCAACTTAAACTAATGGTGTAAAAAATTATTTTGAAAGTTAGAGCAAATAAATCACTAGTTAGAACCTGTTTATTTATTATTATTCCTTCGTGTTTGAAATGGAACATTGGGCTTTAACGGCCTATGTCCATATCGTCCTGTTCTCTGCAGTTTTCTTTAGCTTGCTCCACGATTGCTCATGAGGTCTCATCCCCTACTCACACAGTTTATTCCATGTCATCCTCAAACGCCCAACTCTCTGTTTGCCACTCGGCTTCCACTCGGCGGCCTCAGCGCGTGTCCGATCAGTCTCCATTTCCTTCAGCATATTTGTTGGGCGATTGGGGGTTCTTGGTTGGTTCGTCTTGCAGAGTTCCTTGTTGCTAGTCGTTTCTGGCCATCTAGTCTTGAGTATAGAGTGAAGGCAGCTGTTGGTAAAAAGTCTGCAAGTAGCCTTTCGGTAATGATTTTGGTGACGCGCCAAATCCCTGGACGACAATATAGACTCACTGAATTGTTACTAGTGTTGAAAATCGTAATCCCGTTCTTTATGCTTGATACATCAGATTTCAGAGTATTAAATACACACTTTGATCGAAAGTTTAGTGGACATCTCTTACTGAACTATTGCTGTCACGGTTCATTTGATAAATGCTCGTTGTGGAGTATTTACTTGTAATTAAGATTTTGAAAAGGTAAATGGTAAAGAGTTGTTCAGTGATTTATAGTTCTATGGGTTTGCCAGCTGATATCAGTTCTTAATAAAAACTAGTCCGGAGAAAAGTGTATACTAAGCTCAAGGGATTAGTGGTAATATTAGTAGATCGTGCAGCGATTTGTGTTTAAAACAGAAGTACTACTTTTTGAAATCGTCTGATTTTTCAATCACCACCTTCATTGCATTACAGTCCCAAATAAACTGAACACTATATTTGCCAATGGTCACTATGTTTTCTTCATGCGTTGACTATCCATTGGTATTTGTTCACTTGCTTTTGTTCGAGTTGTGGAGCGGTTGGTTTAGAAATGGAAAACTCGCTTAGTTTCTGGTTATTTATTCGATTGTCTTACAGTGATCCCTTGGGAAGTTATCGGGATCATATATCCTGAAAAGTCTTAGGATTCCACTCTAACTGAACCTAAAGATATTGATTTTGTTGCAGCCTAATCTGAGTCAGGGTATTATTTAGAACAAAGGAGGCTTAACCAGCTATTTTGTCCTAGTTGTGAACACCTAAACGGTGCGAACTCTCAAGAGGTCAATCACAGAGCCTCCAAGTTCCATCGTGGGTTGAAATCCTGTGACTTCCGCACACTCCTCACGCCCTATGAGGGGTTGCCTGACAATACATCGCTATAAAGGTGCCTAATATATATATATCTTGCCAATAATCTCTCATCTCCTCCTCGCACGATCTGCTTCATACCAACCTCGGATGATTTCAAAGTAATTTGTATGAGTCTTCTGGTTGTCCTATTGTAATAGCACATTTATGCGATCTAGGATTAACAGTAATTCTGAAGTAACTTCGTACTCTCAGTTTTTCTCTGTCTTCTTTTAGTACTGTCACTGTAGTAGTTGCCCAAAATGAGCTATCGATTGTCTGAACAGCATATATATATATATAAGCTTACTAACATCAGTAACTTTATCCATTCACCTCTTTGTATATTGAATTATATAATGTAAATAACCTATTTTCAAGTGTTAGTTTATAGAGATTCGATATATTTCAAGTTTGACCTTAAGTGCGTACTGCCTATGAGTCCCAAACTATGACGAAACAGATTTCCAGTACTCTCTTGGTTTTCAATGGTTCTTTAACTAATGTTAGTTCACGGTCAGACTTGAAATAAATTGCCTATATTTTGAAGATATTTAACTAAAACTTACAAATATTTTTGTATATTGACATTAAAATTGTTTTAATTGCTTCATTTAATAAGAACTAATAAAATAAAATAATGTAGCACTCTGTTCAATTTGTTATGCAACACTGTAAACAAGGTGTTATTGTCAATTTATGATGTTTAGAGATTTTGTAACGTAGTCTGTAGAACTCATCTTTCGCTTGTGCATCAAATGACAAGTTTTCACCTTTTGAGATTTATATGTTGGTGAATTTCATTACAAAAGTTCGAATATGTGACTGTACGTTCTAAAAAATAATTTAAATTTGCTTGGACGAAAAATGAATGTCATTGTGTAGAATGCGTCAGTGGTAGAGTGCTCACCAAGCGTGTCAGCGGTCTGGCTTCTATTCCCGGACATCATACTGCTAAATCTTTCCTAGTTTACCAGGCAATAGTAGAGCTGGGAAAAAGAGAGGTTGGGTGTGAGGTTAGCGGTCCCATGCTGTTAAAAGATAACAAGTGTTAGTGGAACTTCAAAGGTTAAGGCTTGAAACTCTGTGTTCCACTCGAAACGTGAATAAATGAAAAAGGTGCTACCAAGAATAACACTGTTTGCTGTGAGGCTTTTAAATTTACTTAGAAGTACCAACCAGCGACAATAAGATTTTCTAATGCAGTCTATTTTTTGTAGCATTTCGGAACTGCTACTCCACAGGTTAAATAATTAATACAAAATTTTTAGTCGATAAGACGATTTTATAGCATACAATAATGTACGTCGGTAGTTCGCCTACAGAATGCTTGCCAACCAAGTACACCGTCCAGAGTTCAAATCTAAGCTGGCGCGCTCCCAAACCTCGCTAAGCCGATAGTAAGCCCGATAAAGAGGGAAGGTTGGTTGTGAGGCTAGCAGCTGGACCCCGACGAAATGACACCACTGCTGCTGAAACTTCAAAGCTTCAACTTTAAACTCTATTTTCTTTTGGGAACGGATAGGAAAAAACAAAATAGCGAACAATGAACTGGTATCTGTGTCGATCTCACTTTAAAAATAAATTACAAACAAATAAAATGGTGTTTGTGCCATCGCTTACTCAAAATGGCTATCAAACTGAATAATATAAGGTGGTAATACTAACTTATCGGTAAAGCGGTCCTAATACGGGACTCTCAAAGGAGCTAGATATTTCGAGGAAATATTACTCATGTATCTTACCTCATACGCCTAAACTGATTAAAATGTAAGTTTCAATTATATACATTCATTAAATTTGTTTCTGATGAACAGACAGTTGGAAACGAGAAGACAAGGATATCCTGGACTGATGTGAAGAACCTAGAAGACCTGGATTTCACGGATGATTTATGTTTGATGTCACACAAAATCGAAGACTTACAAGCAAAAACCGACAAACTGGTCGAAGAAGCAGCCGACGAAGACAGGACTCCAGGTGAACATAGACAAGACGGAGGTTATGAAAATAACCAACCAACAACAGCAACATCAAGCGTCAATCACCATCAACGGGAAGGGATTTGAAAGAGGTTACTTCATTCAATTATCTAGCACTGACCATTGTCTCAACTACAGGCAGTCGGAACGGACGAGGATGTCAAATCGAGCGAGAATCAGGAAGGCGAGAAACACGTTCATCAACCTGAAACCAATCTGGAAATCTTCGTCACTCAGCCAGCATCAACAACAAAATTCGGTCGGATTTTCAATACAAACGTAAAGTCATTTCTTCTATACAGATGAGAAACTTGGCGGGCGGGTCACAAAGAATATTTCCAACAGCCTGTTGAGGACCTTTATCAACAACTGTTTTCTCTGGATCTATGCTGAAGATCAGATGGCCGGGCAGGAGAGAATCAATCACCGAGAAGAAACTGTGGGAACAAACAAAACAAAAACCAATCGCCCAACAAATATGCAGAATAAAGTGGAGATGGACTGGACACTCGCGGCTGAGGAGGCCGCTGAGTGACATCGCGCGCGCGTCAGACCATTGCTCGAGGGGAACCAGGTAGAAAGGGAAGCGGCGAGTGGGACGTTAGTGCGAGGGTGACATGGAGGAGATCGTATGAAGAGCAGTTGGAAGAGAATGGACTAACATGGATGCAGGTGAAAAGTACGGGAGGAGACAGAAGCAAGCGGAGACGTGCAGCTGAAGCCCTATGTTCCACTAGGAACCCAAGGGAACAACAATAAATAATATAATAATATCCTGAAATAAATTGAAGTTGTTTACACAAGTTGTCTGTTCTTCTTCTTCTTTTGATTATAGCTTGACTCCATACCGTGATTTTTCTTTTGTACATGTATGGAATTTTCAGCATGCGAAGATCGGTAGCCCAATTTTGCAGGCCGACCATTGATATAGGATGTGCGTCGCCAGGGGATCGAACCCCGGACCATGTGCATGGTCAACGAGAGTCCTAACCACTGTGCCACCGACGCACATTGTTAAGTTTGTCTGATTGATATAAATTGCAATTGATCCTTTTCATAATTTTCCTATTAGTATTTATATGCAACAAATTTAAAGAATTTATATGATTTAGTATATTACACAGCTGCTGCATACGACGCAACACCACCTTTGTTTTTATTCATATTCATTTCAGAGTGCTGAATTCGCAGTTGTGTTCAATTATTTGA